CTCACGCAACTCTATTCTCGACCGCGACGCAAATGTTGACTATTTGCGCGTCCTTTCTTCACAATATTAACAATCCGGCTCGATCGGACCACTGTGTTGCGGAACTTGTGATTCCACCGTCTGGTTCATTCAGTAAACAGATCGGAAGAGACTGTATTTTATAATTGTATTGATTGTAATATGTGAAAGTATACTATTTACAACGTGAGTTTTAGACTGTTAAACATTCCGATTGTCTCGCTACGATCTGATGGCAACAATGACATTCAATCACTCCCTAGCTATTTGATTACCCTACCAAATTACAATGTGTCACTGTGACGTATCAATTTACACATACAAAGACTTATTTACGATTTAACATGAATTACGTCAAGCACAATACTGATATATTACATGAAGTATATTTAAAGTTGAATGAATTGGCGGCGCTGCGCTGGGAACCTACGACACCTCGGTTGTTTTTGAAATTTTAAAATATTTTTACACCACAAAGCAAAAACAACAAGAGGCATTGAAGCAATCACTAGACACTACCTTTGCGTTTTATTGCCTAGTTTCAAAGTTATCGGCATTCGAACAGCGGCGTATAAAAAATTTAAAAAAAAAGTTTTTACACAAGAATGCAAAGTAATCATGTTTTTGACGCAAGAACACAAGAGGCATCGAAGCAATCACTACCCTGCCATGGCAGAGGTTTCTAAACCACCGGGAATTCTATTTCTTTTGCTTTCGATTCCTTGAATTTGTAGAACACAGAAAAGTTCGTTGTGCATTATCTACCCATCAAAGCATATCAAAAACAATTTTAAATTTCAAATTTCGTGAATGTTGATTGGTTAATACTTTCGTAGTACGCCAAGAAGTTGACTTGCGACGAACTTTTCATTTTGATACGCGGATACACCCGGGAAGTACGTGGATTTATAAACCTCTTTTCAATCTGCGCATGCTCACCAGTACGGTACGGTTGAAATGGAAAACTGGCTTTATGTCAAGTTCAGTCCAAACATTTCAGGTGCTCTTATATAGGCGAAGTTTTAAACAATGGAAATTTTCTTGTGGAATTGAGTAGTATAAACGTTGTCCTTAGTTTGAATCTACAACATTCAACAATTTCATTTATTATGTTCAGGTATAATCTAATCCACTGGGTGATGATTACATATTACTGAAAATTCTAGTTTTGAATAAACTCTTCTCATATTGGAAAATTATATATTTCCTATCACATTCATGCTCACTACCGTGCTTTTTTTAACAACTTATTGACTACTAATAATGTAATTCATCACATACAATGCATGCATGAAACACTATAGTTTATATCGATCACTGTACTTTATCAAGGTTCTAAGCTATGATATTCTCTTCCAGTTGGAAATGTGGAGACATTGCTTCAACAATATACTAAAAATGAGTGATAATCGTTTTTAGGTAAATAGAATATTGGCAAAAAGTTAATTTCGACGTTTTATTATAGGGTCATTCTCGCCTTCTTCTTTTTTGCATCCCAGAAAACTCATAATGCAATTCCAGCAACGAGTTAGACAACTCGCAAAGCGAGACCAGAATGACGAACAGCAAGAATTACAGAAAAACCAGCACGACCAACAGCAGGAATAGGATGGAATTTCTTTGATAATATCTACACATGTTTCTCCATGGACCCTTTTTAGCTCAATCTCGTTTCCGCAAGATCCAGACCAGAAACACAAGGAAATATGATCACCATAGCACTTAATCACCAAATTCTTACGATATGATTCTTTAGCCTCTGTGACAGTCATACGTGCCCTTTCCATCACCCATTTACAATTCTGACAGTTTTGTTGGCAATGGTCACGGTATTCATTTATTCGTTCATGGGTCACTGCTGGATTACAATCGATTTGTACAAGTTGATCTTCCTAGTAACACAATAGTAAAAAATAGTACTCTCGAATAAGCTCACTATTTTATAATATTGAGTGTGAGAAGTTAAAACCAGGCAACGACATGAAACGAGATTATTCTTACATTTTGTTTATATTTGACAAAACCATATGATATCACTAAAACTTTACTTGCCTTTTAAAAGTATTAATTATAGGGCGAGAATTGACATGAAATATAGCGAAGAGTTAGTCAAACTTTATAAGTGTTGGGGGCGGTTGTGAGACGTTGAGGTGATGTAAAATAAGAAATAGTTTGAACAACAACGGCGTACTGGAATGTTGCATACAATCCATAGTCGACTTTTGAGTGAAAATGCTAATTTTAATAAACACGTTTTCATTGATGTTGCCGTTATATTTAAGACTATGTCTCTTGTAATACACATGTAACAAGATGTGTTGTCAAAAACAAAGATAATTTTATCTAATTGCTACAAGATTGTTGACACTCGCAACTTGTTGACAAGTTAATTGTTGGAGTTGGATGCCGTTAAAAATTGATGGGAAAACGTAACAAGTCTGTTGAGCCCATGCAACAACATTGTGGCAAGTAAATTGTCCACAAGCAGTTGACAACATGTCGACAAATTAGAAATTAACAAGCAGTGCGAATAAACTATATAGAATAGAATCAGGGTTGATAACAAATTGTTGAAACAGTATTGGAGATTTGTTTCAATATGTGCGTATATGAAGGGGACAAGCTTCGCATGCAATTTACCCAAGGCAAACTGATAACACAGTTCAGAGACAAGTCATCTATACGAAATATAAACATTAGAGAAACCGTAAGGACTTTAATTGAGATGCGAGAAATGCACCCCTAAGCAGGACTAATTCTTACTGATTGATGAGGGAACAAGTCGAAACCAACATTATAATTACCTGTTTCGGTGGCTGTCCGCTTATCATAAAAAACATTGGAACCTCGGTTGTTTTTGAAACCTTAAAATATTTTACACTACAAAGCTAAGTATAACTTAAACTTATGTTGTGTTTGAGTGTTTAGCATGCAATTTATTACAAATTTCATCGTTAAAACTTTGTTGTGAGAAGCTAGTGAGATTTTTTTTAAAATGTGTTCTCAGCATGGGCGTACCGGAAGGAAAAAATTAGGGGGGCGGAAAGAAAATTGGCCGACTTTTCGGGATTTTGCCCGACTAGTACCAAAAAATTTTTTCCGGAAAAATTTTTTTGGCGACCTCCCCCCCCCGTCGCCAAAAAAATTTCGGCCAGTGTACCATTTTAGGGGTCAAAAAAATTTTCCGGACAACCAATATTTTTCGGAACATACACAAAATTTTCGAAAAATCACAAAATTTGCCAAGAAATTGACTTAATTTTAGACAAAATTTACAGAATTTGT